AGCATAGATATTGTTCCGAACATATTAAATATTATAGGTAGAATAAAAGTAAATATAAATAAATTAAGCAAAATTAAAAACGAAATTAAAAGAAAATGAATACAAATAAAGAATTAGAAAGAAAAAATAAAATATTAGATTGATTAACAACAGGAAAGGGTTATATTAACTGTGGGGAAAACGCAGTTGAACCAAACCAGTTTTCTTTAAGAGGGAAATTAGGTTATCTATTTCTTAGATTTGAAATAGCAGACAAAGGCGTTACCCCTTATGAATATAATGAAGCAACCAACACTGTTATTGCTCGCGAGGGTATTAGAAAGTTTAAACCCTTTTTTGAAAGTATTGAAAGTGGTAAAAAAAGAGACTTGAGATATTTAGAGAATAATGGTTGAGAGGAGTTTATTGTTTGGAAATCCAAAGAAAGTTTCTTCCATGAAGTAGACCAAGACCTTTTTCTTAAATTAGCAAAGAAGGAAATAACTTTTTATGGTGATGATAGAAAAACCATAGAAAAGGCTATTACTGGTGGAAAAGAGATTTATGCTTGGGAAAAAGACCAAGAAAAAAATGGTATGGATTGAAAGGAGTTGATGGAAAAAAGAAATGAATTATTAGACAGAGTAAAACAATTAGGGAAAATGGATAATTATGTAAATGGTTGTCAAAGAGATTTAAAATGAAACCAACACTGTTCAATTAGATTTTATTTAAGTGATAATGAAAAACATTATCGACAATTACTTAATGACAGCAAAACCAAAATTGAAGTGGTTGAAATGGTTATAAATGATTTGCATAAGAAAATGAAAATTACTGAGTTCACTGAGAAAGAAGTTAATGAGTGGGTGAATGGTTCGGTTGATACTTGAATAACAAATAACGAAAAGGAAAAAATTAAACTTGAAAAAAGTGTTTGGACTAGCGAACAATGAAAGGCTTATAAACCTAGTGAAGTAGTAGGTTTAAGAGAATGGAGTGATGACAAAGCAAAGAATTTTTTTATGTTTAAAGATGATTCTTATGACACAGCCGAACAAAAAGTTAAAGAAATAAAAGATAAAATAACCAATGGCGAAAGTTTTATGTATCATTGCGAACACTGTCAAGAGGCAGGCAAAAGTTCTTTTACAAGAGATTTTGTTAACTTAAAGACAGGGGTAGCTATTTATAGTTGCTCTCGTTGTGAAAATACTAATTATTGATATGATGGAAGAGAAGGATAAACTTTTGAATAGTGCTAATACAGCCAAAGACTTATCAAAATATTTTTGACATTGTGCTACCTATTTTGATAGAAAAGATGTTAAAAATAAGTTAAAGATTACTGACATTTAATTCTAACATTGTAATAATGCCGACCAGAAATACTTTAACACGAAAAGATTACAATACTCACTACAATTATAAAAGATATCTAGCAGAGGATTTTAAGAATAATTTTTATCAGTGCCAAATCTGCGGTATAGGAACTGATATCAAAGGTTATTTATATAAATGTTGTATATAAATGTTGTAGTTGTGAGAAGTTTTTTTGTGAGGGCTGTATGATTGATGTAGAGTTTGAAAGCACTTGAAGGATAAGCGATAATCCCAATACTGAATATGGTTTTGAGGAATGCGAACCTTTTATTGAAATAGGTAAATGATGTCGTGAATGTTTTTTTTCCAAAGCTCTTTTGATAGATGTTTGAAATGTCCTTAAAAAAGAAAGGATAGTTGTTTCGGTTATATCTGTGGAAGAGGTTGGAGAGGATGACATAGAAAACAAGGCTGATGAAAATTAAATATATAAATTAACAAAAATATAAACAGATTAAATTAAACTATGACAGAATTTGAAAAGAAACAACTAGAATTATTAGAAATACAAAATAAGAACTCGGATAGAATAGCTACTCATTTATTTGCGATGATGTTTGGTTTAATATCCATTAGTTGCTTTTTAATGCTAATATGAATTAGTAAAGAAAATAAATGTAAGTGCAAAAAATAAAGATATGGTAAAAGACAAAGAACAATTTGGAGAGTTTGGTTATAATCTCCACAAAAGAGAGGCAATGAAGAAAGGACAGTTTCCAACTCCTCTCCACATTTGCGAATTAATGGCACTTTTATTTGTCCCCAAAGAACAAATAAAATATAATGAAAAGGGTGAAATTGATGATAGTTCTTTTGAATGGTATAAGGATAGATTAGTTTACGAACCTTGTGTAGGAACTGGTAATATGTTTTGACCTTTAAAAGATAAATTACTTAATCCATAATTAACAAATTATAACTAGCAATAGTTTAGGTGATTAGACTAAGTTTTAAATAACTACGTTAGAATGCTCATGATACTTTCAGATGATACCCTAGTCTGAAACCCTATCGGTATATTTTAAACAGTTGTGAGGATTAGCAACAGTGAATATACCCTAACAAGATGTTCTAACTTTGTCGAAGGGTAAATAACCTTTTAGTAATAAAAGTGATATTTTATAAATATGGAAAAAAATAATCAAAATTACAAAAACAAATTAGTTTATGTTCTAAACAAAGAAGGAATTCCTTTAATGCCTTGTCGAATTATTAAGGCGAGACACTTACTGAAATCTAAACGAGCAAAGATAACAAACTATCAACCTTTTACTATCCAGTTGAATTTTGAATGTGAAAATAAAGTTCAAGATATTACTCTTGGAACAGACCTAGCTGGTAAGCAAGGTGGATTATCGGCAGTAAGTGGGGATAAAGAACTCTATTCAGCGGAATTTAAAATCAGAGGGCAAGAAGCGGTGAAGTTAATTTCTACTCGTAGGCAGTATCGTAAGAGTAGGAGAAGTAGGAAAACTAGATATCGTAAAATGAGATTTTTAAACCGAAAAAGAAAAGATAGATGACTACCTCCAAGTATAATGAGTAAACTAAACTCTCACTTACAATTGATTAAAAAGGTTTGCGAGATTTTGCCAATAAACAAAACAATTATTGAAGTTGCTAAATTTGACATTCAGAAAATGAAAAACCCCCACATTAAAGGAATAGAATATAGACAAGGCGAGCAATTGGGATGGGAAAATGTTAAGTCTTATGTAAGATTTAGAGATAAATATCAATGCCAAGCAAAAAAGACTTGTAAAAACAAGAACTTTGAAGTCCATCATTTAGAAACTAGAATGACAGGAGGCAATGCTCCTAACAATTTTCTTACTCTCTGTAAAGAGCATCATCAAGAGGTGACTGATAAAAAGAGGAAATTAGAAATCAAAAGAGGTCAAAGTTATCGCCATGCTTCTTATCTGAATATGATGAGGTTGGAGTTGGTGAAAAGATTAAAAGAACTATACAAAAATGTCCAAACTACCTATGGATATCTTACTAAGTCAGTTAGAAAAGAACATGATTTAGAAAAAAGTCATCGGATAGATGCCCTCTGTATAACCGGTAATCCCAGTGTAGAAAGAGCGAAAGAATGGTGGATAGTAAAACAAGTAAGGAAGAAGAAACGAAGTCTCCATGAGGCAGACCCACGAAAGGGTGGGGTGAGAAGAAATTATAATGTGAAGCAAATTACTAGAAAAGAACATTTATGATGTTTAAGAGATAAAGTTAGATTAGGCGATGAAGTTGGATTTATCAGTGGTTTTGGAGTTGGTAAAAAAGTTGTTTATGTAAGAGATATAGAAAACAAATCAGTTCAAATATCTCCAAAAGATAGGCAAACAAATCCCAACTACTTGAAATTAATCAACAGAAACAATAATTGAATATATGGAATTAACAAATAAAAATGAGTATGATAATAAATAAAATTAAGATATGACATTTCAAGCAGAATTAGACAGAATTAATAAAACGGGAAAGAAGGATAGATTAGGGCAAATTTCTACCCCCTCCCATATCGCTACTTTTATGGCAGAATTAATAGTTGGTAAGGATACGGATTTGACTGATAAAACGGTGCTAGACCCTTGTGTTGGCACAGGAAATCTCTTAATTTCTCTGCGAGGCAGAGGAACAATTTTAGTAGGTAACGATGTTGATAAAGAAGCCTTAGAAACTTGTAAACAAAGAATACCAGAAGCAATATTAACTAATTGCAATATTTTTTTATGTGTAAATCCAAAATTAGTTATTAAAGATAGTGAAAAGAAAATGGTTGAATTGCATGAGGAACACCGAAAACTTTTATCCAAGGAAAAACTAGATAAAGAAGAAACAAAAAGGATTAAAAAAATCTCTTTGGAGGTTGAAGAAAGAATAAAATTGATTGAAGAGAATAAAAAAGTTAAACCTTGAAAGTATGGATTATATTGTAGCGAACATATTTTTCATGAACCGAAGGAAACTATTAAACGATTAGAAAATAAACTTTGAAAAGACCATGTAACATTCATGGAAGAAATAAAAAAACTACGACAAGAAACATTACAAAAAGAAAGAGATACCAAAAATAATGGTAATCCTATTTATTATGATTGTCATAGGTGTAATAAAAAAGTGATGGATGAAAGTGTAGGAATGTGTAAATGCAAAGGCGAAACTAAACACTTGCTTTGCGAGGATTGCACCAAACAAAGTTGAGGGGTTAGAGAAGATGGCAGATTAGATACTAGGGAGTTAGATGTTAACGATTTAGAACAAGTAATAAAAGAAAGGAAATATGGAAAAGAAAATTAAAAATTTAAAAATTGGGGAACTAAAACAAAGATTAAGTGATTTGATTAGTTATCATACCAAAAGAAAGGAGGATGCTATTAAATATAATTCAGAGTTTTATAATAAGTTGAATAGTATTAAAGAAGTAGAAATGATGGAAAAATTACCTCCTAAGTTTTTACAAGCTTACTTATTTTTAAAACAAGCCTACTATTCTAACTACCAAGAAGAACTTTTAAAACACTCTAATTTTGATAAAGAAAGTTTTTTGGATAGATTGGAAAAAGAAATAGAGATTTCTGAAAAGAGTGTTGGGTTTATTACTGACGACAAAATAGATTTACCAAAAGATTATCCTCTCTGTGTTTTTATTAGAGATGAACATGAAGAAACTGTTTTAAAAGCAAAAGAAAATCTGTTAGCATTAGTGCAAGAACAAGCAGAAAAAATGTGAGAGGAAAACAGCCCTGATGAAGTATTTGGACTTGATGGAAAAACATATGTTGACCTCATCACCAAAGAACTTTACGATAGATTAATTAAAAAATATTTTTATGATAAAGACAAATTATAAAAAAAAGAATATACAATAATGAATTTCGAAAAACAATAAACTATGAATATTGATTGAACTAAAGAACGAGAAGAAAATAAAAAAAATGCAAAGACATAAAAAATGTTGCGAAATAATATTAGAACATGCTAATAAGTTAAGGGCGGATGCCAGTAATACTTTAAATGAAATAAAGATGGGTAAAATAAAAAAAGCAAATGCCTCTTTGATGGTAATGGTTATTAACTCTTGAAAACTATTACCTAATAAATGTGAAAATTGTATAGAAAGAGAAAAGTTTGTGTTAAAATCCATTGAAGAAATAAAAAATAAAAAAAGAAATGAGTAGTCAAAGAAAATGCACTAGGTGCGAAAAGAAATACCCCAAAGAAGAATTAATTAAGAGTAGGGGTTGTAGATATTGTGATAATTGTGCTAAAACAATTGAGCAAAATGACAAAACTGCAATAACATGAATAATATCGATAACCACTGTGGTAGTGATTGTGTTGATAATTACTTTTATTTGAAAGTTTAAGAATATTAATAAACAGAGATAACAATTGAATACAACAAATCAACATTGAATATGTCAGATACAAAACCAAAATTAAATAAGGAAAAAGAAAGTCAATTAAAAGACTGTTGCGAGTGAAGAAAGAAACACATTTACAGTTGAGGAGATACTTGGGATTTTAAAAAATATTATGAACAAACTAATTGAAATTTAGAAAACAAAGGAAAAACAATGCTACATAATGATTATCAAACTTGATTTGCTCTTTTTACCAAAATCCTAGCAAGAATGCTCCGAACTTCTACAAGTCGGAGATGAATTGCTATAAAACAATTTTATAGTTTTTGATTATTTATTGAACTCACTCAACCAATCAGCATTAGATACGCCTTGGTTGGGTTATTTGAGTGAATAATTAACTCTAATTATGGCGTATCTAACCAAAACTTATCAAGGCAACTTGAAACCTAATTCTGAAATTAGGGAACGACTCCAATTTATTTCTAAGGGATGTAATTTTGTTTACAATTACTTTTTAAAGAAAAGAATAAAAACTGATAATAAAAAACAATCTCAACCAACAGCGGAGGAACAACAAAAAGATTTAGTCAAGTTAAAGAAACTTAAAAAATACCAATGACTAAATAAAATTTCTGCTTGAACTCTCCAAGAAGTAGTTAAGAACCGATTGCTTGATGCTTGAAAAAAGTATAAAGATAGAAAGGAGTTTTATCCCCAAGCATCCTACCCCCGGATGAAAACTGATAAAGGATGACATGACAGTTTTTCAATTCATCAAGAGGGTTATCAGATAAAGGATAATAAACTATACCTTTCCCAAGCAAGATATAGGGGCAAAAATGAACCCAAAATAATTATTCCTTTTGAACCAACCAATCCTCTAAAAGGAACTCCTAAGATTATTAATATCTCTTTTAAGAATGATAGTTGAAAACTAAACATTGCTAGTGATATTGAATTACCTACTAAAATGCTTAAATCAGAAATCAAAAAAATAGTTGGCATAGATAGAGGAGTAAGAAAATTATTTGCCACCAACCAAGGATGAAAATATTACAATCCTAAATACTGGGATAAAATAAGAAAAAGATATATTGAACTTTGTAAATTATTAAGTAAAAGAATAAAAGGCAGTAATAATTGAAAGAAAATTAGAGATGAATTAAGGAGATTATGTCAAAAAGTTAAAAACAGAATGAAAGACCGAAATCATAAACTTTCAAGGAAGTTAGTAAACAAGAATGATTTGGTGGTTTTTGAAAAACTAGAAAGTAAAAAGATGACAAACAAAGAAAACAAGAAAGTAGGCAGATGAACCAGAGATGCAATGCTTAAATCTTGCTGATATCAACTAGCAACATTCACCACTTACAAAGTGAAGGAAACTGGTAAGTGAATTGAATTTGTTAGTCCATATTTAACAAGCAAGAAATGTTCCAAGTGTGGAAAGATTAATAAAGATTTAAAAGATGAAGAAGTATTTACTTGCCCTAATTGTAATTATAAAGATGACCGAGATGTAAATGCTTCAAAAAATATCCTTTTTAAAGGATTAAAGAAATTAAGGTTAGGAACTTCGCTGACTGAGTCAGTATAGCCTTGTTATGTTAATTAATTCTAATTAGATTAGTTAACCTCTACGAAACTCCTACTTCTTTAAGTAGTGAGTAGTTCATTGAAAAGGATTGTTCTGAGTGCAATTACTTTTCTGGAAAGATTAATGAAATTAAAACACAAGACTCAGTAGACATTGAAAAACAAGCTCGGAAAGAAGTTAAAATGCCTCCAGAAAGATTTTGATTTTATAAGTGTAAAGGTGAATGTTCTCTTTGTCCACTTTTAATGTCCGAACTTCAAAAAGAAGAAGGGAATGAGATTAAAGAACATTTTGCAGAGGGGATAAGAGGGAATGAAACTAAATATGTGGAAGCAGAAACTCTTATCTTTCATTGTCCTAAATGTAATCAAAAGTGAGCGGTAGCAGGAGAAATACCTAGTCATATTAGACTCGCTTTTAAAGTAAATGATAGAGAAAGAGAGATTGGTATTAGATTAACTTGTTATGCTTGTTAAAGCGGAATTTGTTTATATGAAAAGTAATTCAAAGAGTTCTGTAAGTAAACCAGTTAAAAACTTTCAAAAGAAGAAATATAATAATCATAGTGATAAGAAAACTAAATCTAAATGAATTCCCAAAGAAGAATGATTAGCACAACAAAAACAAAAGACATCAGCACTAGAAAAAGCAAATAATCAAATAACTGGTTGATTTGATAAGAAAAAGAATATTACCATGAAAGAATGAATTGAGGGAACATTTGAGATTAATCCTATTACTGGAAAAACTATTTGATATTCGAAGGATAAGAAAAAAAGTTTGAAATTAACATAGGGAGTAGGGGGTTAAAACCCTTTATTCTCTACCATAAATTATAAAGGAAAATGATAAATACTAAACAATTTTGAAAAAAGAACATAGAATATAATATCGGCTTTCAAGGTTTTCGAAAAGAGGATATTTATCCCACTGGGGATTGAGAAAAAGCAATTGATGATGCTGATACCTTTGAAAAACTAGATAAATTAGGAAGAGAGTGTCGAAAGAACATGTATAAGAACAGACTTTATGGAGTAAATTCCCAAAGACTTTTTGGAGAAAGCACTGATGAACTAAAAGATTACGCCACTGCTCTTTTGTGAGATATAACCGAACAAGAAAAACAAATTACTCGGTTAAATACCGAAAATGATACTCTTAAAACTTCCGAAACCACTTATGAAAACTCAATTAAAGAGTTCCAAAACAAGATAAAAGCAATTGTTGGCAATGACTTAACCCAATGAGAAGAAAAAATAGTTAAAAAAGATGCCAGCAATAAAGATGTAGCCGAATTACAAACCCAAATAAATACTCTGATTACTGAAAAGGATGAGTTATTATCTAACCCATAATTCATAAGAATTATAACTAGCAATAGTTTAGGTGATTAGACTCAGCGAAAGCTACATTGGTTTACTCATGACACCTAGGAGCGATGCCCTAACTCCTAGCAACTGTCATTCTATTTTAAAAGTCATAAGGGTAAGTGGCGGTGAATAGAATGTAAAAAGGTATTCCAATATTGTCGAAGGGCAAATAACCTTTTGCCAGCAATGGTAAAAGTAGACTATAAAAGCAAATGAATAATATCGTTTATGTAATTTCAAAAGGAGGTAAACCTCTCATGCCATGTTCTAATACCAAAGCAAGGCATTTATTAAAAAGTGGTAAAGCAGAGATAGTGAAATATGAACCTTTCACCATCCGATTATTATTTGAATGCGAAAATAAGGTTCAGGATGTCATTCTCGGAGCAGATACTGCTAGCATAAATGGTGGACTATCGGCTAGAACTGAAAAGAAAGAATTATATTCAGCAGAGTTTAAGATTAGAGGACAAGAGATAGTGAAATTAATGTCTGCTAGAAAAGCACTAAGGCAAAATCGTAGAAGTAAAAATGTTAGATATAGAAAATGTAGGTTCAACAACAGAAAAAGAAAAGATGATTGATTACCCCCTTCCATTAAAAGCAAAATAGAAGCACAGAAAAGGTTAATTGCCGAAGTTCATAAAATACTGCCTATCAGTAAAGTGATAGTAGAAGTTGCTAGTTTTGACATTCAAAAACTAAAAGACCCAGCAATCCAAGGAATAGAATATCAGCAAGGAGAAATGTATGGATGAAATTCTAGGGAGTATGTGTTTTTTAGGGATGGGCATAAATGTAAAGGCAAGAAAAGTTGCAAAGGCAAGATTTTGGTAACTCACCACATACAAAGCAGACAAATCGGAGGTGATGCTCCGAACAATTTAATAACTCTTTGCGTAGAATGCCATATTTGACACCATAAAGAAGTTAGAGAAAATAAAGTTGGATTTAAGTTTGTCAGAGGTGAAAGTTTTAGGCATCAAGCATCCATGAATACTATGCGATGGAAATTATTTAATGATTTGAAAAAGATTTATAAAAATGTTTCTTTAACTTATGGATACATCACAAAAAACACTAGAATTAAAAACAAATTAGATAAATCCCATAGGAATGATGCCTTATGCATTAGCGGAAATGTAAATGTTGAAAGAGTAAAAGAATGATGGATAGTGAAGCAAGTTAGAAAGAAAAAGCGAAGTCTCCATGAAGTAGACCCACGAAAAGGTGGAACGAGGAGAAATTATAATGTGAAGCGAATTACTAAAAAAGATAGATTATGAAGTTTAAGAGATAAAATAAAATTAGACAATAAAGTTGGGTGAATTAGTGGATTTGCTGAAAAGATGAAAATGGTTTATATTAGGGATATAGAAAATAACTCTGTTAGGCAAAATCCTAATTATGAAGTAGTAAATCCAAGCAAATTAAAGTTAATAAACAGAAATAATAATTGAATAAATGAAAGAATTAACATATAAAATGAGTAGTGTAATAGATAAGAAACAAAAAGAATTAGAAAAATGGAAAACTGACCATCGTTGTGATAATCCTAATAATGCTGAATTAAACCAAGCAAAAGATGATTTAAAAAAAGAAAAGGAAGAGAAAGAGAAATTGAATATTGCTTTGGAACAGCAAAAGCAATTAGTTAAGAATAAAAAAGATGAAAAAGGAGGTTATGGATTATTGACCCTCTCTCTTGTGGGAGTAGGTTGTATTATGCTTGGGATAGTGATGGTGAAAATATTTAATCAAAAAAAAAAAAAAAACAACCAATAAAAAAATATAAACATTAATTAACATAATACTATAAAATATATATATGAAGAAAGAAAGATTGAGAAATGTGAACTGCAATGTAAAATTGTTCGACTGCGATCAAGAGATAGTTAGAAAATATGTGATTTCTCGGAAAAATTATTCAAAGAAAAACAATTGAGACTATTGAACGGGAGATGAAAACAATAAAGGTAAATATATTTGCGATGATTGTCTTCTGAATCTCTTTCATAATTATAAAAAAGAGTATTTGGAATTTGTCAAAACTGATTCGAAACGCAATATGTTTCGAGTTTATATTAATAGCGAAATAATAAAATCAAGGAAAAAATAAAAAAATATGAGTAAAAGGAATATACAGACAGAAGAAAATATAAAATTAAAAATAGAAAACCAAGTAATTAAAAAACAATTGATAGCAATTCGTGATATGCTGAATGGCATCTTAGGTGATTATGCTGAGATAGAATTATTAAAAGGTAGTGCAGATGTTAAAAAAGTAATAAGATTATGAAATGAAATTGAAAGAGATTTAGCAAAAGAAAAAAAAGTTTCCATTATTAAAAAGGATGGTGAATACTTACTAGAAAAAATAGAATTAAAAAGATGCATTAATTGTCAAGAATATTTAGATCCAAGCATCGCCTCGGATAAAAGTTTTTGTCAAAAATGTAGTATTGGAAACAAAAATATTACCTAACCCACAATAAATAGGGTATAATATACTATTTTACACCAATTTAATAAAAAATAAAATGAGTAAAAACGAAAAAGAATTAGAAGAAATATTCCAAAAAGGAGTTCACAAAGGATTTACAGAAGCAGTTAAATTTATCTGCCAAAAGTTTCCTTTTATGTTCGATACAATAAAACAAAAGATTAAAGATGGTGAGTTTGAAACTTTTAAGGAACTTACCACTTACAATAAACATAGGGGTTGTTTTGATTTTAATGAGGAATTATGATATCAAGCAGTCAAGACAAAAATAAAAGAAATAGTGGAGGAAGCGGATAAGAGTGTAAAATTAGATATAATTACCAAAAAATATAAAAAATAATGGAAAATAAAGTAGTAAAATTAGAAGAATTAAAACATACAAAAATTAACATACAATATATTTGAGATGAGGAAGAAGGGGAAGCGAAACCTTTTATTGTCTGTTCTCAATGTCCTTCTTATGGCAAACAAGATCAGCGAATATTATTGCCATGCGATGAACTGGATAAAAATATTAATTTCAATCAGAGGGTAAATGAGTTATTGCTAGAGCATAATGAAAAATTAAATGAAATTTCAACTAGAGTTTACTTAGAAGTAAGAGAAAATAGCATGGTCAAGTATATTCCTGAATATGACTGATGAAAAGTTATTTATCCTATCCAAGGCAAAGATTCTCTTGAAGAAACAGTTCATGAATTAAATGAGAAAAATGTGAAATCAGCCTGAAAAGCTTTAACTAGAGTGTTGTTAGTTTTAGAAAAAGAAGAGAAATAGAAAATGGCACAAAATAATAAAGAATTAAATATATACCAAAAATTACAAAACATTCAATCAAGAAGTACTGAAGTCCTAAAAGATAATTTAAATAAATTTCAAAATTATAATTATTACACTGAATTTCAAGTTTTAACCTTTTTGAAACCTTTATTGAAAGAGCAAGGTTTGTCTATCGATTTTGCGGATTTACCTTCTGAAAATTACAAGGTGGAATTAGTAGATAAAAATTGGATAGTCCAGTATTGGAAACAAATTACTTTAACCAATGTTGACAAACCAGAAGAAAAAATTATTAGCAAGATTTTTGCCCTTGGTTCTAACCAAGATATATCAAAAGCAAAAGGATGTGCAGAAACTTATACAGTGAAATATTTTTTGCAGAAGTTGTTTTTAGTTCCTACTAATGATAATTTAGATCCTGACCGAGATCAGTGGACTAGCAAATCCAGAACAGAAGAACCGGAGGAAATGGAGAATATTAGTCCAAAATCTATTCCAAATGTCAAACCAAAACCACTTCTTAATACTCCGGACAATAAAAAAGATCAACTTTGTTCGGTTTGTAAGAAAAATTTAGTCTATTATCCTGACAGTAATAAATGATGGTGTCCGGGTTGTCGAACGACGGTCAAACTAAAAACGTAAAGTGCAATGCCGAGACCTAAAATTATAAGAACTCCAAAAGAGATCAAAACAAGTCAAAAAAATAAAAGAGAGTATTTTAAAAAATATTTGAAAGAATATCGCCTTAAGAAAAAAACTAAGGATAAAGATTATGGTCATAAGGTTTATTTAAAATGTAAATCAAAACGTACTGCTAAAAATGACCTTGAAGTTACATGTGGTAATTGCAAACAAGACTTTTTAATTCCTTTTTTTATAAGCAAGCGACAATATTCACAAAAAAATAATCTGAACTATTGAACTGAAAAAGAGGAAGATGGGGATAAATATATTTGTAATGAATGTTTAATCAATTTATATTACAATAACCATCATTTTACCAACAAACGCCCAGAATTAGCATTCTACATTAGCAAAAAAAAAAAAAAAAACAACTAATAAAAATTAAATAACTATAAAATATAAATAAATGACAAACGAAGAAGAAATTAAAAAAGAGACTAAAGCCTCGGAGACAAATGAAACAAAAAATGAAGTTAAAGGCTTTGTTGTTGCTGAATTAGTCGAAAGACATAACAAAAAATCAAAGAAAGGAGAAACTTATTATATTTTAGAAATAAGTGTTCGCCGAAATATAACCGAAATGGTTTTAGAATTAAAAAATCAAACTAATTCGGTTTCTGTAAATGCTAATGATCCTCTTTATGTTTTCACTAATGAAGGTAAAAATAGGTTTGCTTACACTCTAGAAAAAAATTGTATCTATGCTTTTTGATTTGTTAAAACCCATAATTTGGAAAAGAAAGAGGATTATTTTCATGTTAAAAGTTGAAGAAAATTATCAAATGATAGAAAGAGTGTTGAAAGAACTTTAAGATTGGTATTAGATAGAAAAGATGCAGAAAATGAAGAAGAAATAATAACTAATCAAGAGTTACTAAGCGACTTAAAAAGAAGAATAAAAGAAGGCAAGATTACTTTCGAGATGAGTGCGGTGAACAGCGACAGCAATTCTCCTTTGGAAATAGATACTGATTTAAAAGACAATGAAAGTAATTTTAGAGTGGATTTACAGAGAGCGAAAGAAAATAAAGAAGAATAATGAGTAATATTATAGAAAAAATTGAAGAAGCATTCAAAAATAAGGAGTTAGTAACTCGGAAAACCAAGGATGGAAAATATTTACTTCTTATCAATGTTATAACTAGGGAATATATATTAACTGATTTAGAATTAGTACCTAAAATAGATTTTGATGCCACCGAACTTAAAAAAAATAGTGTTCGGTGATCTGAAGAAAAAGAAAACCAAGGAAAGGCGAAAGAAGATGTTGATAACTGTTCGGTAAAAGATTCAGCTGAAAGGCAAATAAGAATGCTTCAAATAGAGGTTATTATGAAAGATATGAATGAAGGAGAAAGAAAAAAAAGTATGAAGTTAATTGAAAAAGAAATTTCTTGTCAACATTGTTTAAAAGAAATAAAGGAAAAATGAATAAAAAATTAATGAATAAAAATAAAATAGACTGTTGCTATTTGTCTCGACTGTTTGAAAAAACTTATGAAGGATTTTGCACTCAAGGAATAGAAAGTGAAATGAACTCAAGTGAAGTAGAAGAAGTAAGAGTGGTTGATAAATATGATTTTTTACTTGGCAGTCAGCAAACTATTTTTATAACTTTATCTGTTTTGTTAGCTGAGGATAGATTATGTGATAAATGTGCTATTTTATTAAATAAAATAGAGGATTCAAAACTAGAAAATGCATTATTGGATTTCGTTAAAAATCACAAATCATCAATTAAAAAAAATGAATAAATTGGAACTAGAAAATGCTAAATTGCAATTAGAAAAAGCTCGTAAAAATCGCTATAATGCTTTAGTAAACGATTATCGAAATGGAAAAAGATTCAAAAGAGATTTAGTAGAAGAAATTGCTTTTGATTTAGCCAAAAAAGATAGTAAAAGAGCGAATGAGGCAAATATTCGCAAACAAGCCTTGCTTATCTTTGATGAAGTAATCAAAACTGGTTGAAGCGATAAATCAAAAGTTAGCGATGAAATTCAAGAAATAGAGATAAAACTGCCAGATGGTGAAACTAACACTGTTTATATGGAGGGAATGCAAGGTATAGATTGTTGTTATTGGAAAGAGAGGATCATCGGAAATATTCTGATTGAGGAATGAGGTTGTGAAAAAACCAAAGAACAAAAAGAAGAAATAAAGCAAAATATTTATTTTGGATATTGATTAGGGTTGGCTGAAAAAAGCGACTGTGAGGTATGCCGGAAAATTATTAAAGAAACAAAAAAAAATGGAAATTAACCAAGTAAAGGATTTGATAACTCTAAAAGAGTTTGTGATAAGCAAAAAAGTAAAATGAGAAGATGAGATTCTAAAAGATGAAAATTTAAAAACCTTTCAAGATTATCAAAGGTTGGCAGAAGATATTGTTTATTATGGAACTTGTGTTTGCAAGAAATCTCTCTTATTGCTAGAAAAGGATGAACCACATATCAACTGCGAAAGATGCAAAGATTGTAAAGATGAGTTTGGAGCATATTGTGGAAACAAGAATTGTGCTTACAGTTATGGTGGTTTTATTTGTCAAACTTGCATCGCAACTCAAGATAGAGGTGGAGATTTTTATGAACTCGAGTTATGTTTAGACTGTGAAGATAAATATTGATGTGATATTTGTGAACACGAGATAGAAATAGTTGATAATCCCCCAACTTGTGGAGTCAACAATATTGTTTATCACTCTGGAAAAGATTTAGATCGGAAAAAGATGATTTGGTGTACTCTTTGTCAAGAAATGTATGGAAAATGCTGTGGATGTCAAAAAGAATATTTCCCTCATACTTATCCCTCTGAATTGAAAAGGTGCGAAAATTGTCGTGGTGAATTTTGTCCTAGTTGTTGAGGAACTGATAAATATAAAAATTATCAATTTATAAGAGATGGTTTATGTACTGATTGCTTACAAGTTGAAAAAAACTCTAAAATTAAAAAAAATGAATAAAATTTCAATGTTAATGTCTAAAATAATTGTATGGTAGAAGAAGTAACAAAAAGCACTGAAACAGTAGAAGAAGAAGCAAAATGTACTAAAAAGGCTTGTCGAATAAAAGAAAAAGAATTATCGGAAAAACTAACAAAAACAGAGCTGGAAAAATTAAAAATGAACAATGTTTGACTTCAAGAAGTTAAAATTAGGTCTTCTTTTTTGATTAAATTAATGTCTCTAATAGGCGATACTTTTGGTGAAGATTTTTATAATAAAATTATTGAGCATATAGCAAAAGAAAGAGAAGCAATGAAAAGTTTTCAAGCAATTAAGGATGAAAAAGGTTTAGAATTAAAATGTTCTTTTTGTGAAATAGTAATAAAGGGTTCTTCGGAATTAAAAATAGATGCTGATTTTTTTAAAGCCTTAGATAAAAATTTTTATTGTGCCGATTGCTATGAAAAGAAGTATCCGCAAGAGTTTAGTGAAAAGTATCAAAAAGTCAGTCAACAAAATCAAACTCAAACAAGGGTAGAAATTACAGGTTCGGAGTCAGAAGAGATTGATAAAACAGAATCAGCCGATTCTTCAAAAGAGAAGTAATATCACCTAACCCATAATTCGCAAGAATTATAGTCTTCAGTAGTGATGAACTCAAAAAAGGTTTAGCAAATACTCTTTTGGTAGGTCTTGAAGTTGAAGTTTTAAATGATGAAAAAAATAGTTTAGAAAAAAAGTTGACCGAAATGATGAAAAAGAGTAGAAGTTTTATTAAAAATGAGCAAAGTAATGTATAAAAAACCGAAGTTCGAACTTCCTGAACCTATTTCTGTTAAGTGTTTTAGATGCCAAACTCAATTTTGAATAAGTTTTATACTTGCCCGAAAAAGTTATTCTAAAAAGAATGATTGAGATTATTGAACCGAGGAAGAAACTGATAAAGATCTTAAAATTTGTAATTCTTGTTTACGAGAGGTTTATCAAGAAGGAAGAAAAAAATATTTAAAGTCTGCTACTAAAAGGAGTCGTTTACATAATTATATTGTTATTCAAAAACTTGTATAAAAAATCAATGAAAAAAAGGAATAATGGCTGATTTATACATTGGAAAATTTGGAATTGGATGTTGTGTTACTTGTAAGATTAAACGGAACTATGATTCGGATAAGAAGTTAATAATGTCTTTGGGTGGTTTTAAACTTTGTTATGATTGTGGAATAGAAAAGTTCTGAGGATTAAAATGTCCCTGTAATCCAATTATCATCAAAGAAAGAGTTAAAAAGTCTAGTGAAAAAACCAATTGATATGAATGACATACATTGGATAAACAAGGATTAGATTTATTTAAACAATTATAAAAAAAATAACAAATAAAATGAGTAGAGTAATAGATAATAATAAATACAATAATGCTGTTTCGATAGTTAGAAAACTAAAAAAAAAGGGATGCCAAGCCTATTTTGTGGGCGGTTGAGTTAGAGATAAATTGCTGGGAATTGTTAATGAAAATAGCGATATCGACATTGCTACTTCTTGCCCTATCCAAGAAATACCTAAATTATTCTCTGATGTTGTATATGTTGGGATGGCATTTGGGGTTTGTATAGTGAAAATAAAAGATGAAGTGGATAAACCTAAAAAGAAAGTTTATTATTCTTTTGATGTAGCAACATTTCGAAGAGATGGGATTTACCAAGATCTAGTTAAGGATGTTCCGAACTTCAAATAAAATTATGGCACATCTAACCTTAAATTTTCAAGGAAATTTAAAACCTAACTCCGAAACTAGGGAACAACTCCGATTTATTTCTAAGGGGTGTAATTTTGTTTATAATTGAGGACTTCAACAAAGAATAAATTTTGATAAGGAAAAACAGTCTCAACCAACAGCAGAAAAGCAACAAAAAGAATTAACCCAATTAAAGAAAAAGTCCAAATACCAATGACTAAACAAAATACCTGCTTGAACTCTCCAAGAAGTAGTTAAAAACCGACTACCTAATGCTTGAAAGAAATATAAAGATAGAAAAACACTTTATCCCAAAGCAAATTATCCAAGAATGAAAACTGAAAACGGCTGACATGATAGTTTTTCAATTCATCAGGAGGGTTATGAAATTAAAAATAACTGCCTTTTTCTCTCCCAAGGAAGATGAGAAAACAAATACCAACCTAAAATTATTATTCCTTTCGAATTAACCAATCCTCTAAAAGGAACTCCTAAAATTATAACTATTTCTTGAAAGAATAACAATTGAAAACTAAATATTGCTTCTGATATTGAATTACCTCCTAAAATGCTTAAATCAAAAATTAAAAGAATAGTAGGAATAGACCGAGGAGTTAGAAAATTATTTGCCACCAACCAAGGATGAAAATATTATAATCCTAAATATTGGGATAAAATAAGAAAAAGGTATATTGAACTTTGTAAATTATTAAGTAGAAGAATAAAAGGCAGTAATAACTGAAAGAAAATCAAGGATGAATTAAGGAGATTATGTCAAAGAGTAAGTAATCGGATGAAAGATAGAAATCACAAACTATCTAGGAAATTAGTTAATAGAAATGATTTAGTGGTTTTTGAAAAGTTAGAAAGCAGTAAAATGGCAAGCAAAGAAAACAAAAAAGTAGGTAAATGAACTAGGGATGGAATGCTGAAAGCTTGTTGATATCAACTAGCAATATTCACCACTTACAAAGTGAAGGAAACTGGTAAGTGAATTGAATTTGTTAGTCCATATAATACAAGCAAGAAATGCAGTAAATGTGGAAAGATTAATAAAGATTTAGGAAATAAAGAAGTGTTTGAATGTCCCAACTGTGATAATGTGCTAGATAGAGATGTAAATGCTAGCAAGAATATCCTTTTTAAAGGATTAAAAAAACTGGGTTTATCCCAAAGGTTAGGAACTTCGCTGACTGAGTCAGTATAGCCTTGTTATGTTAGTTAGTTCGCTAATTAACCTCTACGAAACTCCTATTAAAATAGGGGTAGTTCATCAAGATGGAAGAAGACCTAATGAAGTAATAACCAAAACAGTTTCAATCGAAGAAGATGCCAAAAGAAGAGATTTTACCATTAATGCTCTTTATTATGACCCGATAGGAGTTTGTCGGTGTTTAACCATACCTGAAAATGTTAGACTAGACCATGAATGTGGAATGTGAAAAACCAAAGATAGAATTCTTGATTTTGTAGGAGGGCGAAAAGATTTAGAAGATAAAATTATTAGAGCAGTCGGCAATCCTTATGAAAGATTTAAGGAGGACAAGTTAAGAATGATTAGAGCAGTCCGATTACAATTCCAACTCAATAAAGAAGAAAATCCATGATGAAAGTTAACTTTCAAAATAGAAAAAGAAACTGAACAAGCAATTAAAGATTTAGCAAAAGAACTTTTGCCAGCAGTTAGTTATCAAAGGATTTGACAAGAACTAGATAAGGCGAGCAAGTTTATTAGATTTGATGATTTCTTTTATGAGTTGAATAAATTAGGATTGTTATCTCGATTCTTACCAGAATTGTCAAACCAAAATGGAATCCAGTTAGAAAGTGCTGAAGAGGTAATAGAAGTATTGCCTCAAAATACTCCTACTCTAATAAAAATAATGGCAATGTTAGGAACTTTTGAAAAAGATAAAGTTTTAGAAATAACCCAGAGGTTTGGTCTGAAAAATCCTGATTGACTTTAAAATTGTGTTATATGAGATATACTATAATAGCGATTGATCCATCAGGAACAGGAACCACTGGAATATTTTTGGTGATTGTCGAAAATGGGGTTGTTGTATCTTATGAATTTAAAGAGTTTAAAGAAAAGGACTGAACTAAGCATTATGATTTTTTAGTTAATTTGATCAAAAAAAGTAAACCAACTATAATTCTTTATGAAAATACCACTTATGTTTATGGTCGGCAACAGCAAGGAACAGTTGGTTTGTGCAAGTTAATTGGAAGCATTTATGGAATGAAAAATACTTTTAGTTTTGTAGAACAAATAGGAGACATTCCGGTTAGCAATGTCAAAAGTTTCCGAGATAAAATTCAAACTGGAACTGAAGACATTGATGGTTTACTTTTCCAAGAGGGTAGAGGTTATGGTTGAAAATATAAAGGTGAGAAAATTAGTAAACACCAAGTTGATGCCATAATGGTTTATCATCTTTGGGCAAAAGAACATTTGAAAACCAAAGAAGAAATTGAAGCAGAAATCACTGAACTAAAATCTAAAAAAAGATTAGGGACTAAACAAAAAGAAAAAATGGAAAAATTAGAAAAAAACTTACTAAATTTCGATATATAAATTTAACAATTAAAATGAATGAAGCTATAGAAGCGAAATGTCAAAATAATAAATGTAATAAAAAAAAACCTTGTTGGGAAATGTTTAATTACAAAATTCCAATAAAATGAGAGAGTGGTAAAATCATCTTTGGAGCATTTAACGGTATCTATTTTTGCGATAGTGCTTGTTGACTGGTTTATAAAGAAGTAGTTGATAGTGCAGATAAAATTAAAAATTTAAAATGTAGGAGAGAACCTACTTGTGATGAATGTTTGCTCCAAACTGGAATTCACTTGCCGATTATTTATAATCATAAACCCCCTTGCCAAGAGACTTATGTTGGTATAATAGAAAACCAAGAAAATAAAAAGATAAAAAGGTGTGTCAATTGCGAAGTGTCTAGTGAAATAAATAATTGCAAGAATGATCTTGATTTAGATTCGTTATCATTTTGACAGAAAAGAAAGGCGATAGCTAAAGAAAAACTAAAAAAAAAAGAATTGAATAATAATGAATAAAAAAATAATTAAAAAAAATAACCAGGTAAAATTAGGGTGGGATGTAGGATGTTGTGGGGTAATCAAATGTTGACAGTGCAAAGAAATAATTTATTGTGCTGAACTAAATGCTGAAACTTGTTCTAGATGTCGAAAGAATATTTGTGATAATTGCATTGAATTTAGCAAACATTCAGAAAAATGCAAAGAAAAGAAATTATGAATGAAAGAACAACTAACCGATGAAGAATTAAAAGAAGGAAAGAAAAAAGTGGAGGAGGCAAGAAGGATTAAATGATCTAAAAATTTGGAAAATTATAATCAAGGGAAAATGACTTATGAAGGGTTTAAAGATGAAATAGTATTTGACTTAAAAAAAATTAGGGATGAAGGAAAAATTAACTCAACCGAAGTTGAATTGATTGCAAAGGAACTTTTGGATAATGGTTGAAGCGAGAAACTAAAACCGGGTAATGATATTCATGTGGTGAAAGAAAAGTATTTTCCACAAAGCACTTTTCTTGAAAGTAAAGAGGAAAGAACTTGTTGTGCTTGAAGAAAATATTTTATTACAGATATTTTTCCTTTTGATTTAAATGATTTTATTGAGACTAGGAAAATGTTGCACAACTCAGTTGGTGAAAAACCATCCATTTCCTTCTATAGTGCTTGACTTCAACTAGTGGATAAGAGTGAGTGTTGAGATTGTGAAGATGTCTTCTTCGAGTTGAAAGAATGAGGAGGTGATAATTGATGAAAGACTGCAAAAAAAAATATTAAACAATGTCAGAAAGAAAAATAATCAGTCTATACGACCACTATAAAAATACAAACAAGAAATTAAAAATCATTTGCGATTGAGATGAAGTTATTCAACCCTGTGAACCTTATGCTTGTTATTTAGAAATGACCGAAAAGGACAAAATCTACATGGCATCTTTTGAAAACTACTTCAAAAATAGTTTTTGAGGAGACAATAAAGACCATAGTTATCTAGGAGAGCAAAGAACAGTAATTGAATACTCTTCTTATGGTTCTAAATTAAAAAATGGAGTTGGTTACTGCTTTGGGGTTTTCTATGACAAAGATGATAAAGAAGCTAAGCGAGAAAGAAAAGAAAGTATCGAAAGGCAAATCGAAATCAAAAATTCCCTAGACTTCTATCAGCAAGCACCATTTTTAACCATTGCCAAGGATTTATTAAAGTTGATTAAAGAGGATAAAATTGAAAGGTTAATATTCTTAACTGCTTATGATGAAAGAAAGTTTCCTAATGGAGACAAGAGAAAGATAGAGATATTTCATAATACTTTTGCTGAATTTGCTAAACTTCATAAAATCGAATGTGATACTAAACCTTATGAGGGAATTCACGGAGCAGAACTTTCTAATGTTAAAATTAAACTGATTGAATTACAATTAATCCCTTTCGACAGTGAAACCCAGCAAGGGACAAGTAAAGTTGATTGAATTAAAGAAAATGCCTCTGATTTTGATATCTTTATTGATGATAATCCTAATATTTGCGAGAGTTTAATAGAAGCGATGGAGGAGGAAAGGTTAGAATGGAAAGACCATGCTGATGAATGTTATGGTTGTTCTGACTGCCATGACCCCGAAACAATGAATATAACTATCATCGCTCCTTACTATCCAGCAGTAGAAAATCAGCATCATAAAGAAGTAACATTGGTTAAAAATGAAGTTAGTGATTTGAAGAAAGAGGATTTTTCTGTTGGTGAAGAAGAACAGGACGCGCCTAAACTTTTGAAATGCGACAAGTGTAAATCTGATGATACTGGTTGGTTTTTAGAAAACTGTGAAGACTGTTGCGGAACTCCTTGTTGACATGAAAAGGGAAACCAAACTTTGTGTTGTAAATGTTATAAAAAAGAACATACGGTATTCATTGAAGATGGTCAAGAATGTTGTCCTCAATATCCCAATGTTAAATTTAGGAATATTTCTGATAGCGAGTTGATAGCTGAAATTAAAAAACGAATGAAAAAAACACTTGACAATTTAAAAGCGGGCAATGAAGATGATAAAGTTCTCTAAAACTTATCATATAATTTTATGACTGAAGAAGTAAAAACAAATAATAATAATCCT